GCGAAGGAACCTGAATGGTTGCATGTGTTTCAATCGCCAGCGTATCGCCGCCTCGCACCATTAATTCAAAAAAAGCCTGCGAGTCGTCCAACTCCACCGCCTGGCGGTAAACCGTCACCTCCACCGACTCCCCCGCACCAAGACGGGCAGAAGGGGGAAGAAATACAAAGCGGCCCTTCTCCTGCATGATTGGATCCTGGAGCTCAAACACAATAGCAATCGGGTTGTCATTCGACACCGTAAAGGATGCCTCAGCCTCAGCTCCTAATTCAATAAGGCCAAAGTCCAAGCAACCCGTGCTCACACTTACGGAGGGGCCAACGCCAGTCACGCTAAGGTACAGTTGATGCGTGCAGTAAAATTCCGTCGTCGGTGGCGTTTTTATCATTCCTGTTTGTGTTGGTGGCGGTGCCGTTGTACCCTCCGTAACACTTGCAGTCGACGTGGTTGTGAGCTGCTCCATCAGTTCTGGAATGTAGCAGTCAAAAACAAACATATGTTGGCCCACTTCTCTCAATGTAAACTGGAACAAAACCGTGACACTGGCGTATGGCGGCACGCACCCTTTTCGAGGTTCAAATCCGACGTCCACAAATTCACGGTCGCGTTTCGAGAGCACTACCTCGGGAGGACATTCATCGGGATTCGGGTCCAGGCAGAAATGTAGCGGCCGCGGAGAGTTGTTCTTCATGGTAATGCGCCGTAAATTCCTGCAGCTCACAAGACACTCCACTCCCTCCTCCAGGTGATCCGGGATCATCACTAGGGATGGCGTGACGGGATCGGCAAAGAGGTAAAACCCCGTGGCAAAAACACCAGAACAATCTTTTGGCTGCTCTCGCGTCCATCGCTGAAACACGCTGTAGGGATCTGACATCGTTTGGACCTCCTCGGCAGCAAGCACGGCAGGAATAGGCCTGCCACGGACATACAGATCCGACACCGCCGCTTCTTCTGCAGCAGACGGCATGGGAAGACCCTCTAAAAAAAGATTCAGCACAGCAGCCAAGGGCTGGGCCGTAGCAGGCCTCAAGCAGACGAGAAAAACGCTTTCATTCTCTGGAGGCAATACGCCGGTGGCAGGTGTCACACTCAACTGAACTCCTCCCAATGAACTCCCACCACCAATGCTGTCCGTCCTCCAAAAGTACGGCACCCCGATGGGACCACTGTTGTGTACTACCACCAATACTTTCGTTTCAACACCAGGCGCTGTGCCAGGAACCATGTACTGCGGCACACTAGCATCCTGCTCTGGCGCACTTAGCTCCAAAGTCCCAACACGCACAAGATCAACGCGAGGCAGGACACCCTCTCCGCAAAGCTTGAAACGCTGCTCAGAAATGACGGGCCCTTCCTCTAATTCTCGCACAGTTACAATCAGCTCTTCGGCATCGTAGCGCATCTCTTTTATGGGGACAAAACAGACATTGATCTCAACGCGGTCCCCGCCAGACAAAAGTATAGCTTTCTCAGTCGACGGGTCAATCTTGAAGCATGGAGAGGTGCTGTTCAGCGTGACCATGGCAACCGAACCGGTGTTTTCAAGATAAAATTGCCTTGAGCACGTGTCCATAACATACGTGTATGGAAACTCAACTGTGGTCACAGCTTGTTCAGACATTTTGGGGCAGTGAGACCTTTTCCCAGTTGAAGGAACTGCAGCAGAATACACCGACCCCGTCTCCCCTTGGTAATTGATGGGAATAAGAGAGAACTGTGGCAAAACCGTTTCGCAAGTCACATTAACCTCAAAAAAATGCCATTTTTTCCCCTCACCACTGCGAGAATTCAGTTCCCGGCAGTGCCCGAGCCGCAGCACCTCCCTCACTAAAGGCTCAGTTGCGCTTTGTGGCTTAAATGTGATACGTACGTCAACAAAGCCACCACATCCAAGAGGTTCGCTCAGTGCTATGCGAGTCATTGCAGCAGAGGCCAAGCAGGAGGACGACGATGACGACGGCGGCGGCGGCGGTTTAACGGAAGAAAAAGTTGAACGTGATGCCGGAGAAACCCGTCGGTCCACGGAGGATTTCACCATCGAGTATGTAATCCATGCATGTTTGGAGGGAGGAATCCGCAGGCGAAGAAGATTGGGTTCGCGATTGATGAACCGGACAGTTGTGCTTACCTCCGCACCCACCGTCGTCCGTAACTTCACGCGATTGTTTTCCGCAGAGCACTCAATATAGGCAAAACGACCGGATCTCGCTTTGGTTTTAAAGAGTAAATGATGCGATTGGTAGCCTGTAGTCACCTTTGGTACACTTCCCGCCTCTCTCATGCCTTTCGGGATTATTGTGCCTGTTCTTGGCGTTGCCGCAATGGCGACGCCATCCGCAGTCGTATTTGCAGTCGGGGGAGGAGAAGAAAAACGCGAGAGAGCGTCAGAGTCCGCAACTCCGCCATCACCTTGATGAATAATGGCGGGAAGTGGCACGCTAACTTTTCTCTCATGTGTGGTATGTACAGAACGAGAACGAGAACGAGGCACAGCTGCTCCCTCGTGGGTCGACACTACGGGCGGTAGCGTGAGACTCCATGAGTCCCCAACACTCATCAAATCCCCGGGTGCGTGTGTGAGGAGTTTGCTCTTCAGTTGACAGATTGTCATAGTGGCGGTGGTTGTGGCAGTCGTAGTGGTGGTGGCAGCAGTGGTGGTGGTGGTATTATCTGCCTTATCCTCGGCCGTGGACAAGACGGGACGGAAGCCGTACTCCTTCTCCAGTGAGGCATTAAGATCTCTCGCGAAGCCAACGGCGTCGATGGTGAACTCACACTCGGTGTCAAGGGTATCTGGGCATCCAGAACGTGCCAGCAGGACTGGCGCATCCGTTGTAGGAGTTCCAGTGGAAACAACAGTCACAGATCCCTCTTCAGAGACCGCGTCTTTGCTGTGAAATTCATCACTGTTAGCATCCGCCAAAGTTGATTTCCCTCTAGAAGCCATCCCCGGTACCCCCTGCAAGATTTCCTCCATCATGTACTCGTCAATACTTCGGGCAGTAAAAAAACGTAGTTGTCGGCGTGCGAAAGCCCGCCGTCGGTCCGCCTCCTCGCGCGCATGTTGCATCTGCTGTTTCATGTCATGTAAGCTGCGATACCAAAATTCCCGCTCTCTTGCCAATTTCATGGCAGCCTCCTTCTCCTTGATTAATTGGGAAAAGCCGCTGATGCTTTTTGCAGTCCCTCCAGCCGTCCCAGCCGTCCGCTCCGCCGCACCCCGCTTGGGTTGGGAAGAACCGTACTTTCTGGGCCGCGCTGTATCCTTCCTTTCGTTATTCATCACCTTCGGCTCCGCGCTCGCGGAAGGGGCCAATGTACTCTCGGCCGACACCTCACGCATCCGCTGCAGCTCCGTCTGAAATCTCTTCTCCTCTTCCTCCTCTAGAAGCTCAAGATCACGAAGTTCATCCGCAAAAAGCTCCAAAGCCTGCCCCACCCACGCAGCGTCCAGCAACGACTCCTTCAGGCGATCAGCGGCATCCATTTTTGCCTCACTGCTTGACCGCTGCCGTTGCAATTGACAGGCACGTGAGACGCGTGTGGAATCCCTTTCCTAACAATCACCAACTGCCCTTCCCTTTTTTTCGTCCCTCGCTTCCTTTTTTTTTTTTTTTTTTTTCGCTTGGGTTGTGCAAACTCACTCCAGCAGCTCCCCGGGCATCCGGCAAAGACATGCGCGCAAAAATAAAGAGGAATGCACAAAGAAAGGAAAAAAAAAAAAAAAAAAAGAAACAGTAGATTCCAAATAGACGCGGACCACAAATGGAGGTCATTGCAGACAAACAAAAAAGAAGAAAAGAAAAAAAAAAAAAAAAAAGAGTGGGTGTGTTGGGCGGCACAGTGCACGGCTTCTCCTCTTTTTCCTCCCCGCCGTACAGGCGGAGCCGTCACACACACACAGAGAGAGAAAAAAAAAAAAAGAAAAAAAAGCTACAGAAAGAAAAAAGGTAATGATCTATGGTGGTGAGAGGAAACGGTGAGGGGCTCAAGCAACCCGCACACACTCACACACACAAGGAAAGGACGCAGATGCAGCAACCCTCTCACAAAGACAGCCGGCCAGTCGTCGCGGAAAAACGGACAACAATAATAAACACAAAAACACACACACATACATATACATACATATACATACATATACATACATATACATACATATACATACATATACATACATATACATACATATATATATATATATATATGCAGATGTATGAAAAGAAAGCCGTAAACAATGAAAAACATGAGGAACGCTTAACAAAAAAAAAAAAAAAAAAGGTAAGAAGCCTCTTCCGCTACCGCAGCAATGCAACAACAGCATCATCATCATCATCATCATCATCCGCAAGCGAAAAATGAGGCCAACAGGCAAACAGAAGCAAAATACCCCACCTCCTCCTTCACGTCCTTTTTTTTTTTTTTTTTTTTGTGTGTGTGTGTTCTTTGTTTTCGTCTCCTTTTCCATCCCTTCACATAATCCCAGACCCCATGGCTCGCTACGACATCAAAAAGTACTCCTCTTGAGCGTCAATCAAGTCTGCAACAGCAACTTGAAATCTCTCAACGCTCTCCTGCAAACGCCCCAGCATCATTTGAACTTCCCGTTCCGCGCTCGTGGAAGCCGTTGCCTGACCCTTAGACACCCCAGGCTCCCCAGTGGCGGTACCGCAGTCCGTGCCATCCCCTTTCGAGAGGTTTAAAAGATCATCCAAAAAGTATGCATCCGGCATTCCAGCCACCTCTTCCGTCACCATCTGTTTTGCCGCCGTGGGGGCTTGTCGCTCCTCTTCTGAAAATGTTTGCAGCTGCTCCTCTAAGCCCTGCCAAGGAATATGGGTAAAGAGGCAGTCCATGTCGCGTTGCACACGCGAACGTACATGTGCCTCGCACAATACGAAGCGACTGTCCACAGCCTCAGAATGAGATACGGGAGGTGATAATGGTGGTGGTGTGGGTGGCTGAGCAGATGCATCTACTTGCTGCGCCCACTTGACTGGAGTGGCGAATCGCCTGACGATGCAAGTGCATTGCGTCAAAATCATCGCCGCCCAATCCAAAGCACCGCAGGCTCGCTGAATGTGCTTCTCAGCCAGTGCAGAACGAGCCAAAACGGCAACAAGGGGCGAGTCAACCTGCGCAGCGGCACGCTGCCTAGCGATGGAAATATGCGCCTGCCGCGTCTCTGCTTCAAACGGCAGTCGAGTATGACGGAAGATCTCAGGGAAGGCCTCAAGGGGAATCAGTCGAAGACGCATCTTCCTCGGTTGTCGGCGACCAATGCATTGATACACGCGCTGGCGAGGCCGATAGAGGGCGATGCGGTCAAGATAGAGTTGAAGGTCCGTCTCTGCCTTCAACCGTCGCACTCTGGATTCACCTTGCCCTGCAGCCATCTCGTATTCCCTCGCCAATTGCACATGTTGTCTCATAGAGGCCTCCACGTGGCGCAGCACGTCTCCAAGGGCCTCTGCGGTGAGACGGACGAGAAGGGATACACAGAGCCACAGAACAAGAGGCTTCGTGCATGCATCCTCCTCCTCATCTTCTTCTATGTTTTTTTTTCTTTTATCCAGCAAAGATGGTGACAACACCACCTCCGATGCCGCTGCGCCTAATTCACTTCCCTTCAAATCTTTCAGTGTTGATGATGATGATGATGATGATGATGATAACAATGCATCAAAGCTTGTTGCCCCAGACATGCATTTCGCGTACTCCACCAACATGGGCTCATCCAGCATCAACGTGTAGCGTAGAAAGAGGTACTTCGAGGCGTACATGGCGGAGCTAACGGGATTCGGCAAATTGTATGGGATCCTCCATCCGTGGAGCTCCACGGCAAGTGAGAGAAGATCGGTGAGGTCAAGAAACAGCTTCCGTCTTGTTAGCCGTCGCACATGTTCAGGAAGCCGTGACCACACCTTCTCAACCAAAAAAGGTGCAGCATCGCCTATGTATTCCGCAAAGAACATCTGAGATTGTTTAACGTCGCGGTAGAGTGAAAGTGCCGATGTGGAACTCTCCGGTAACCGTGCCAATCCTCTCACATAGGCGATACGTCGTAGGCAACGCAGCATCTCAAGGCACTCTGTGTGGCTGTAATCATGGTAGTGCTCCGCCGCCGCAATTGCAAGAGAGATGCTGACCGCCGGGTCCTCAACCTCTGCCGTGGCGAGTGCTTTGGCGAGCAACAGTAAAGAACGCTGTGGGATCCCAATGACAGACACGCGCCCGACGCTTTGAAGCAGTCGTAGCACCTCACTGACACTTGTGGCCTCTCGATTCGTTGCCTTCCAACGTACGCCAAGTGACGTCTCCGTGGGTGATGACACGAGTGGACCGCGTGTGGCATCAAGCACGACGGAGGGAACAGTGTCCACTCCATTAAAACCCAAATTCACTTTCGGCACCGCTGTCCCCTTCCGCCGCCCACGTCCCCGAAAAACATAAAGCGGGATTTGCTCACCGTCCAACTCCACGCATCCACGCAACCCTTCTTGTTTTCGTTCCTGCGACGGTAGCAAAGACCCCATGCAGGGCGCAAATGGAAGACAGTGTTCCGTCATAGCGCGGAGGCTCGGTGTCACAAGGCTCGAGGCCAAAATGTCATCCCCGAGATCCCACTGAAAGCGAATTTCTAAGAGGCGCTCAATTGTGCGGTCGAGGCCATCATCCCCAAACTGCGGCGCCGGTGGCTCCAACACATCTTGACGTTTTCGGCGTGTCCTCACGCCTCCAGTGGCACGTCCCCAAAACGGGGTCCACGTGCACCGCCCGTCGGTCATGAGTCGCACAACGTCGTACGATGATATCTTGCCGTCCGTCCGTGTAACCGGAGGAGAGTAAGAGGGAGAGCTGCGGTATTCGTTGCGGAAGTAGTTGGCGAATGGGCGTTTAGACTTCTTGAGATTTTTTCGGTCCGCCTGATGACGAGCGGCGATGCCAGCGTCAAGTTGCTGGTGCGGTGCCAATGCAGGGGCCAGCCATGACAACCGTGGACGCCGCGGCGTTCGTGATGCAAGCCGCTGCACCGTGCAACGGCAACTCATTTTTGTGTCCCCTGCAGCTGAAAAGCCGTCGTCGTTGCTATTTTTATTGTTATTCTTATTGTTGTTGCGGACTTGACTCCGTGTCTCTCGCTCCTGCGCCCCCTCCCCCACCGACCCTCCCGCCGCCCACGAACCCCCTTTCCTGCTTTTCTTCCTCTGCTGCTGTCAACGTGTTGGGTGTATTTTTATTATTGCCGCCCACCATCCAATAAAAAGAAGGAAGAAAAAAAGAAAGAGAGAGAGAGAGAGAAAACCAGCTCTTGACGACTATGCAGGAAATAAGCATGCGTCTGGTAGACACGCAGGCTTGAAGAGTGGGAAAGGAGTGAAAGGACCAAAAAAAAAAAAAAAGAAAACAAAGCTGGAGAAACTGAGAAAGGCGGAAAGAAAAGAAAAGAAAAGCCTAAAAAAAAAAAAAATCGGTCGCAATGCTTGCTGGCACTGGAGAAGAAAGAAAGAACAATAATGATGCAGGAAGAGCACCTTCTCTCCAGAAAAAAAAAAAAAAAACAAGACTTTATTAGCATGGCTTCATGTGTAGTTCCCCTTTGCCGTCTTTCCAATGGGCGGATGGTCCTCCTTCCAGTCAGCCAGCCGCGTGTCACGCTGGCGCTGTCGCTCCTCCACGCCGTCAGGTCCCAGCCGTTCATCTTCCTCCTCTTGCTGACGCTTCGCTGCAGCGCTGGCGTCCATCCGCCGTTGCACATCCGCCATCTCCGCCTCTGCAAATTCTTGAAGCGTCATCGTCGGTGGGTTCCGTTCCACCATCAGATCCTTCACGACCTCCTGTCGGAAGGCCTGCTGATTGGCAATCGCACTCATGGCGACGCTGCCCACCTGCGTGGTGGGGATCGGACCGCCAGGGGTAATGAGACCACCGGGAAGAATGGTATAAGTATGGCGACCAAGCGACTTCTCTCCACGTTGCACCGCCTCAATAGTCTTTTGGTGATCGATCGCAATGGCCTGTCGCTGCTCAAGAGAGAGCGCCTGGAGCATTTCCAACTCCCTGAATGACAACTGCAACTGTTGACAACTCTCGTAGATGGACCACCGCAAACGTGATAGCGCACGATTCCGAAGCGCATCCTCCTCATCCCCATTGGTGTCTTCCAATTCATCTCCATCCTCTTCCGCTAGTGCCTGCATACGCTTCCGCTTGGCCAACAGGTATTGCACCTGTTGCTCATAGCGTCGCTTTTCCTCTTCAAGCTCGCGCCGCTTACGGGAAAGTTCAACCCGTTGTGTGCGCTGGTCTGGATGCATATTGCGGTATTTCTCCAAAGTCCGCTCATCCACAAGTTCGTAGTCCAGCATCCACTGAAAAAACATGTCATACCAACCTTTGGAGAGTGTGAGAGCCTCCTCCCGTGTCATCTCTGACGTGTTCCTTGTCTCCGGCGCTGACGATGAGGGTGATGACGTTGCTTCTAGCGTTGGAATTGGCCCTTGTATACGCTGGTAAAGGTCTGCAATGATGTATGGGATCCACAGGAGCTCCAGCGAGCTTGTGGAAAGGTCATCCAGCTGTTCGTTGGAAGAAACAACGCCCATCACCGCCATCTGCCGCCACAGCAGCTCAAACTGAGGGATGAGAGAACGGGCAATTGTGCTCTGTTCACCAGAATGCATGCCTCCCAAGATTCCCTCCTCGTACTGGCGAAGAAGTTCATTGAAACGTCCTTTCACGGTCATGTTTGTGCCATCAGTAGACATTGCTTTCTTGCTTCCCCTTTTCCTTCACAAAATAGGAGGTAAAAAAAAACGGCAAGAAATTAAAAAGAGACATGCAAATTTCCCACGCAGAGAAATAAATGTGCATACATATTTACATATGTATAAATAAATGCACACATAAAAAAAAAAACACACACCAGTCCGGGTGTTGGGTCGCTGCTAATCGCCGGTGTATCTTGGCCCTGGACCTTCCACACCCCGCTTGAAGGCCCGCTGCATCATGGGATGATCCATGTAGACATCACGGCGAAACTGCTGTATTGGAGGTAATTCCCGCTCGTGTTGCGACTGCCTCCTTTCTTCTCTACTCCGTTCTTCCTCCTCCTCGGCGTCGGCTGCGATATCTTCATCGTCTATGCCGGTGCCTGGTCGTGCGCGGGGCCGGGCCTCACGCCACCCGAGCACTTCACCCAATGTGTGATCGGGCCCAGTAGTGAAGTCCTCCGGACGGATGTTGTGCCGCTGTGAAAATCGCTCGGTCCATATATCAGCCAATTCACGCCGTCTTGACACAATGGCGCATCGCCGCAGTGACGTACAAAGTGCCATGCGAACACCCGTCCGTGAGGTCATGGGAATTGGGGAAGAAGACTCTTGCAGCTCCTTCCACAGGGACTCTCCGCGTTCAAGTGCCTCTGCCCGTTCCTCCGGCCGTGTGCTGCGGGCAAGTGTAAGGACTAACCTTCCCTCCGTGTCCAGTGTTTGCATGCGAGGCGCACCGTCCTTCTTCTGACGTTGCATTCGCTCGCGCAGCTGTGGAATAGAGAGCGGTAACTCGTTGCTAAAAGAACATCGAAGCAGGGGAGTGAGTTGGCCAATAAAAATGTATCGCCGTTGCAGCTCTGAGGGCATCTTGTTCTCCAACGCCATCATCAGAGCCGCACAGCGACGATACATGGCGGAGTACATCCTACGCAATCAGTGAATATGCCACCCTCTCCAGACATGTAAACAGAAAGAAAAACAGGGAAAAAAAAGACCTCCCTTTTAGTGCCTATTCCCGCCAATACCAACAGACACACACACACACACGCACATACACACACAACAGGCAGGCGCACAGCAACAAAAAAAAAAAAAAAGAAGATAAAGAAAGAGGAGAGGCATACAACAGACTAGCAGAGAGTTTCAGCAGACAAAAGGAAAAAGAAAGTAATAAAAATGAAAAAGAAAAAAAGAGAGCACAAGACCAATAAGAAGACGCAAGCGGGGGAGATAAAAGAAGAAAAGGAAAACAACTTTTCAAATGGTCCCATACGCAATCATACGCATCAACAGTGAGAGAATCAACGGAAACAACGGCAGCCATCACCCGCAGCGACAAATCACATCCGGCAAAAGAAAAAGGAAAGAACGGAAAACACAAAAAAAGAAGGGGAAAGAGTTTCACTGAGCCACTGAAAACGTCCCCTTTTTTTTTTTCTTTGTTTGTTTGTTTTTTGCATCCCCCCCTTTCCTCAGTAGTGTTTCCAATCCATGGTGTCTTCCACCGCCTCCCCTGCCTCGCTAGCGTCTGGTAAGTCCCGATCGTTCACTTCGGCATCATCCACCACCTGCAACGCCTCGTCAATCAAATAACAAAGATTGCCCACGTACGCCACGTCTGTGTTGTCCATTGGGCGAAACGTGACAAGGTTAAAGTCAAAGATGACGGCAGCCAAAGTGCGAACCATTTCGCGCCAGCGCTCAGGCAGAGGTTTCGTGTTAAGGTAATCAAAGTCACAGGTGCAGAAATGATCCAGCGCCTCCTCCCTGATGGCTGGTGGAAGAAGATCACATTTTGTGAGAACATTCATAAAAGGGCATTCAAAGCACACCATGCATGAGAGCGCAAAGGTGCAGCCAGAGACAAACTTTCCCGCATCGGCTGTGGCTGCTAGCGCGTCCAGGAGGAAGAGAACAACCACGTGGAAGCCAGAACGTTCCAGCAGTCGCACAAAACCCGGAACTGCAGGAATGTGTGAAAGAACCTCCAATTGTCCCGGCATGTCAACAATAATAAAGTCCTCTTCGTGGTCACCGAGCTGGTCACACAACCACACCTCGCCCTGACCCAGTAGGTACTCCATGCAGAACACCAACCCACCGTTCGGGCCAAGGCCTTTGCCCTCCATTGCATCCTCCAGAGAAATGAGCTCACGAATGTCAATGGAGGGGTCGTACGGCAGGTCCTCTGCGGCGGGATCAAAGTTACAGATGTGCGTGGAACGGCCCTTGGTCGCGTAGTGTTCCGCCACAACTGTACAGAGCGTACTTTTGCCGCTCCCCGCCGGGCCAATCACGACAACGGCGTACTTGCCCATCTTGGAAGGGGCTCTTGAAAAAAAAAACCTTCACAAGTAAAAAAAAAAAAAAAAGAAAATATAAACGACAAAAACAACCAAAAGAAGACACAAAGTGGAAGAAACACTCCCTTTTCTCGCCCTCTCCAGCAAACACACACACACACACACACAAGTATGTAAATTCACGGGGGGATCATAAAGCGAAAAAAACATCAAGCCCACCTTTCCACTAACTTGTTGTTGTTGTTTCTTTTTTGTTTTTTTCTTTTTATCCTCTTCAATTTGTCTCTCTTTAATGCTTTGAGCCATGCGACGTTCTCCTTTCTTCTCCCTCCTTTTCCCCATGCAAACACATTCGCACACACCCTCGACCCGGCCCACCTTCAGCCAGTCCATGCTTCCCCCTCTCAGTGGCCTCACCTCTCGTTCCCCTCGGCCTTTTCTCGCCTCGGCCGCACATTTCGCTCAAACTCGGTGTCTGTTGCAGAAGCGTCGGCCTGCGCTCCCTCATAGCCGTGCTTGTCGCGGGTAACAGCAGTTGATCCACCGCCCCGACGCTCAACGTCGTTCGAACCCACATGCTCACTCCCTCGCTGATCATCAAAGCGATCCGTTCCGCGTCGCATGGGAGCGTGGCGCCGTGGCCTGTGGTTCTCGTCCATCTCGTCATACCCCCTTTTGCTGCGGTTGAGCGGGGCGGTGGGGTCCGTGGAGCTCACAAGATGGCTGCTGATAAAAGTGGGTGTGAACGTTGGCGGCACCATGAATCCTTGAGGAGGACGCAGCATCCGAGGAGGAGCTTCGGGGGCATCCATCACCCCGCTCATTTCTGCTGCTGCTGCTGAGGATAATTCTGTTGCTGTTGTTGTTTTTTCCCCCAATGCGTCGCCGCTGCCGCTGCTGGTGGTGGCGGCGGCGGCGGCACCGCGGCTAGTCTCTGGAAGAGCACTTCGATGGGCAACGGCGGATTGTGGCATGGGACCATCAAGGCCCAAGTCACTCAAAGAAAATTGGTGGACAACCGTGAAAACATTCCATTCCAGCCTGTCTCGAAGCTCCTCATCGGTAAGCAATGCAGCCTTACGTCGGGCAATGGCAGCCTTGGCGTACTTCACCTTCTCCTCGCACACCGTGTCAAGAATTTCCCGTGCGGATCGATACCGCTCTAATCGGTCCTCCACCTCATCTGGATCGTGGTGCAAAATCAGCCGGTACGACTCCACAAGCTTCATAAAGACACTATGACGTACATCTTCACTGTTGAGAAAACGAAATGCCGCGTTATTACGATATCTTGCAAGGATGTCCTTCATAAACCGTTCACCGTGCTTGGCAACATACTGCGCGGTGCAAGTCATGTAGCTCAACGTCAAAGCTGGCATGTTAATTGTGCCATGGTGTAAGTCCAGTGAGTAACGGTTGGGAAAGGGATCCTCCAAATACCGCTGCGCCTCAATCTCCGCCTGACGCAACGCCTCGTCACGTTTCGGATCGTGACGTGCTGCCGTGCCGCCTTCCCGACGCACGATGCCGCCAGCTTTGATGGTTGTTGTTGTTGTAGTGAGTGTAGATGCGGCACCTTGTGTGGTAACGGCGTTGCCGTTGGTGGTTGGGGCCGTTGTTGTCGTTTTGCCTTGCGACGGGTCCTTCTTCTCGTCGGTGGGAATCAACTCGGGGTGGGCACGGTACTCGTTAAGCTTCTGCAGGAAAAATGGGTAAAACACATGCGTCATCTCAAAATAAAGAAACTCCTCTCGTTTCTGACTGGCGAGGACTTTAGCCATCATCTCCTCCGCCTTTCGCTTGTCACGCTTTGCAAGACTCGCTGCCGACTTCTCAATCTTGGCACGCAGCTCCGGCCCGGGGGCAATGATGCCAGGCGTGGTGTCGTCCTCAGTGGCCATTCACGCTACAATTTCACACAAACGCCCTACGAACAACTTTTTCTCACCGTTAAAAATCATCATTACAGATGGTTGCAACAACATTGCGTTCACACAAAGAACGGGAAAGGGAGAAACAAAAAAAAAAAAAAAGGTGGGGAAAAAAAAAGGGGGGCAGAAGAGTGAATAAATACAAATAAAAGAATCTGGACCTCAGCAACTGCCGTGTGTTTAAATGAGGCAACCATCACACTGCCCCATTGCATATTTCAAAAGAAATTCACCCTTGATTTGATTTGTTTTCAAGAATCATTGTCCCCTCTTTTTTGCTGTTTTTTTTTTTTTTGTTGTAGTTGGTTTTTTTTAATTTATTTTGTTTTTGTTAGTTTGCTTCTGCATAATATGAACGTACGTGTCCACTCGTTACGGCATTTCGTGGGATGCGGAGGTAAAATTAACAACGACTGTGTCCAACCGAGGCGAGTTGACGTCCACAAGTACAAGCGCCCCTGTTTGGGAAAAAGGCGGCACACAAATAAGTCGCACCCCGGCGCTGTCTTCTACAGGGGCCTCTTCATTTGTGTTGTCGTCACCCGCAGGGTTAAAGCCCTCAAGTGGCACCCATCGTGTCTGCATTTCCGGTTGATCGCAGCAGACAAAACAGTGCGGAGCGCTTGGAAAGACAAAAGGGTCTAAAATCTTGAATGGGTAACTGAACAACGTGTTGGGTGCCGTCGGACAGGCGCAGCCGCAGCGAAGCAGCATGGACATGGCGTCCAGTCGTGTACGATATCGGGTCTCACGGCTAACGTCATTCAAGTTGCTACCAGAAGAAATAAAAAATATCGTGCCACCCTCTGCCGTTGTTGTTGTTGTCGTCGTCGCCGTTCGTTCAGCAGTAGCAGTAGCAGTAGCAGTGGGTTTTTTACCGGGAAATGCATGGAACTCGTATGGGTTTGTTACAAGCTTCAATGAAGAGCGACGTGCGGCCTCAGGAAGCAGCAGCGGATGAAGCGGCTGCTGCGGCTGAAACGCGTTGGTCACGTCCTGATCACCCGGCATCACATCGACCTCAATTGTCTCCGTTATGCGTGTCAAGACGGCGTCAAATTCGGTCATAAGCATCGCAGATGTAATTGCGCCACCTTCTTGTTTCTCGTCACTGAGTCGTGTGTGGTCGGATGGGTCCAATTTCACCTTTTTCTTCAGTCGTAGTTCATCGGTGGGGGCAATACTGTTGCCAGCAATTACCAAATGAGCAATGCGGGATGCCTGTGTGATCATGGCGTCATCGCCAACATGGCCGGACAAATAATCCACGAGAAGTTCCACCATGGTACGGCTGCGTGTCACTTCTGCCTCCTGCATCTGCGGGCTCCCCAATCCCAAGCCGCAGACAATCCCCACATAGCAAGGTAAACCTCGGGTTTTGCCGGGTAGCAGTCGCGGGACATAAATCTCCCTTAAATCGGTTAGGGCGTAACTGTGAACAAAAAGGCATCCACTGTCGCGCAGTGTCCCGTCAACACCCATCACAAGCCCCGTGCAAAGTAAATCCACAGGAACTTCCTTCAGTAACACTCGGCCACTGCCGTCCTCCATGAAGACCTCGTCTGCCGAGTGGCAGAGTGGGACGTGCTGCTCCCGAGACTCGCCACGACCGCCCTGCCACTCAGCATGTCTTCCTCCTCCAATTTCCCCATCCCCGCTTATTGTGGCCACCCGCTCACTTGCAAGGGGAGGTGTTGTATCGCAAAGTGCATCTGCTGCTCCACTCTCCTCATCGTCATCCTCACCAGCATCAATACGGATGAGTTCCTTTTGGTACTCGTCCAGAAAACGTGGAAGCAGGCGCATCTGCTTGTATATCACCCCCACACACAACGCACGTTGGCCCGGCACAAGATCTAAAACACGAGCAAATGGCGGTGCAGAGCTCCCAGTGGAAAGATGAACATCAATTTTCGTGCGGATGGCACGCAACGCACGTGGCTGAAGCGCCTTTTCCCTGCATTGATACATGGCCGCGTACTGCTGCGTAAACTGTTGTTGACGGAGGAGGAACCGTTGATGGGTACGCTGCAATGAAATGCCGGCACGTCGTCGCGGCACCTCGCCACCCTCATTATTCAACCCTCCCGTCATAACACAATAAATCTTCGCCTGTATGTATATATATATATATATATACGTACGCAAAGAAGGTCCCTTTGTGTGCAAAACCCAAGAGAAAAGAAAAGAAAAGAAACAAAGAAACAAAAAAAGAAACAAACAAAAAAACACATGGCAAGGAGTGACTGGCTGCAGAATAGGAGGGGGAAAAAGGAGAAGCATGCAAAGGAATGATGGAGAAGCCGGTCATAAAAAGGAAGTGGTACAAAAGTAGAGCTGATAAACAGGAGAAAGAAATATATATATATATATATATATATTGAAAGAAATTACAACCCCACGCATGTCAAATTAGAAGAAAAGAGACATACAAAACAAAGGGGAAGGTAAAAGAAAAAGAAGAAAAAAAAAAAAAAAAGAGTCCCACTGCTGTTCCTGCTTTCTTCTGGTGACTGCACGGATAACAAAAACAAGGCAGTGGTGGGTAATAGTCCCTATTAGTAATATCATCCCATTTCACCATTACTCGGTTTTGCTCGCGTGGCACTTTTCTTCTTTTCTTATGGTTTAAATTCCGTCTCTGCCTCTCCTCACTCTCCTTTTCTTTTTTTTTCTTTTTTTTTTCTTTTTCTTTTTCTTGTTCTTGTTTAACTTTATTTTATCCCTTCTTTTTTGTTGTTTTTGTTTTTGTTTTTTGTTTTGTTTTTTGTTTTTTGTTTTATTTTGTTGTTGTTTTGTTTTTATTTTCCTTCTTACCGTTGGGTCAGCGTTTCTTCAACTTCTTCTTCTTCTTCTTCTTTGTTGTTGTTATTGTTTTTACCGGCATGTTGCTTCTTTCATCTGTGCGAGGCAAACTACCCTCCGTGTAAATAACACAAACATGTGTACACATATATATATATATATATATATTTGTGTGTGTGTGTGTCTGTGTGTGTGTTTGACTTCAATTAACGAAATGGGTGTAAATGTCACTACCCAAAAAGCGAATAGGAGGGATTAGGGAGAGGGGAGGGGAGAAGATCTAGGCACCCACAGACACACAGACACACAGACATATATATATATATATATATATATATGCCCCAGGCATGCATCCTCATACCACACATACACAGGCAGACTGGCATACCCACAGCCGCATTGCACACTGACACGATACACACATGCCCAAACAATTCATTTTAAGTCTTCTTTAAAGAATTCAAATTACTTCTTGTGCCCCTCTTTACTTTTTTGTTTGTTGTTGTTGTTGTTTTTTCCTTCTTTGATGGGTTAGGGTAAATGGGTGGAGTTAAAAGGAGGGGAAGGAGAGAGAGAGAGAGAGAGAGAGGGTAGTTGTGTAATTTAACTTCTTCTTGTTTCCTTTTCTGCTCCTTCATGTTGTTTCCTCCTCTCTCTGTCTCTCTCTCTCTCTTCTGCACCCTTCCTTCCTTCTTTCCCTTCCATCCCCCTCAGGTCTATAAATATATATAAATATATATATTCTGCTCCATGCCCTCGCAGCATGAAACCTTTTATCTCTCTCTCTCTCTCTCTGTCTTTCTCTTTATTATTTTTGTTTGTTTGTTTGTTAGTTTGTTGTTGTTTTTGTTTTGTTTTTGTTTTTGTTTTGATTTATTTTTTTTGTTTTGTCTTCTCCCTCCCTCTCATTTTTCTGGTTGGCAAACGAATTATTTAAAAAATGGAGTTATTCGTCGTCACCCATAGGCAAAGGCGCATTTTCAACAGCGCGTGCCTCCTCTTGTAAGGCTTGAAGTTGTTCCGCCGAAAGTGGTTGTACGTTAGGGTCAAGCAAAGGTGCTTCCACAAGTGTAAGATTTGGATCATTCGCCAATTTCTTTGCCAACCATAAAAATGGTTTCTCAAAGTTATAGTTAGATTTGGCAGAGATATCATAATACTGTAAACCTTTCTTTCGGTGGAAAGTTATCATTTTTGCCTTTACTTGACGGTCTGCACAATCTACTTTGTTACCTACCAATACGATAGGGATATTATCACATACACGTGTAATATCTCGATGCCAGTTTGGAACATTCTTATAAGTATTTCGACTGGTTACATCAAACATGATAATAGCACATTGACCTTCAATGTAATACCCATCACGTAAACCACCAAATTTCTCTTGTCCTGCTGTATCCCAGCAATTAAAGCAAATTTTACCACGGTTTGTATGAAATGTCAACGGATGTACATCCACACCCACTGTCGCCACATATCGCTTTTCAAATTCCCCCGTTAAATGACGTTTTACAAATGTTGTTTTGCCTGTCCCACCGTCACCAACAAGGATAAGCTTAAAAGTAGCCACACAATCCGATGTCGATGGAACCTGCATTCCCACGCACGTAAATTCTTTTTTTTTTTTTCCTTTTCCTTTTTTTTTCTTTACTCCCTTTTGATATTGTTGGCCGTTAATAGTCGTTTTGTTGTTGTTGTTGTTGTTGTTGTTTGTTTTAGAAAAGAAAAGAAAAGAAAAGACATGGCGGCAATTCCCTCGCTTCAAATGCGGTCATACATACACACACACACATATATATATAACTTGAAAGGCTCGTGAGGCAAATGATCCGCACCTCCCCCAGTCAACAGAAGCGGCATTGACAGGAACGACGACCAAAAAGAAAAAAAAAAAAAAAAAAGGTCCATCCCCCCACCCACTCTCCTCCTCCCCCTTCCGTGCAGCCGTTCCGTTCACCATATTTGCTGGAGGCTTTCTTTCCATTGTTGGCTTTTCATTCATCCCCATTGACGGCTTCAACTTCTCCCCTTCTCTCAATCTATCCATCTCGCAATGACACATAAATACACGCAAAGAGACATGTTTGTTTACATCACTCCCCCTCCCCTCCCCCCTTATCAGTCAATATTCATTTCATCTTCACCCTCCTTGTTTTGTTGTTTTGTTTTTTTTTTCTTTCTTGTGTGTGTCTTTGGAGTGGGAGAAAAGCCGATAAGAACAACACTGACGCACAGGACGGCAATGGTGGTGTTAGTGGTATTAGTAGTGGTAGTAGTGATGATGCAGACGATGATGATAAATGGAGTAGAGTGAATAAAACAAATGGGTTAGGGGAGATGCCACACATCGCATATTATTATTTACACCCGCCAATAATAATAAAATAATAATAAAAAAAAAGAGAAAACAACACTTCTGACAATATTTGTTTCTGACTTGACATCATCCCACATACACATTACACGCACATACACACACCTCTCAGAAACTTACACATTTGTCGTGCCCTGCATTAATGCGAAAAACTCTATTCGTTTCCTTGTGCGTCTACCCCTAAAACTGCAGCTATCCCTGTTGTTGTTTTTGTTGTTGTTGTTGTTGGTGGTGGTGGTATTTCTTTTTCTTTTTTTTTTTTTTTTATTCCTTTCATTTCCACGCACAGATAAAAGTAAACACATCCCCATATGGCTTCAACATCAACGGGGTTGATTTCTACTGAAAACGACGCTCATATGCTGCTGGAGTCCTCAGAGTCATCACTATCCGTGCTGATGTCAGAGGTGTCGATGTCGGTGTCAGAGTCGCTGACGCTATCATCCCCTGTGAAGTCCGTCCCACTGTCCTCAATGGCATATTCACTCGTGTCCGCGCCGCGTGTGAGAGCGATGGCAGCATACCCTGACGAGGAGCTGGACGCTCCCAAATGTGGCTTCCGCATGTCTGTAGACGACGGCTCCACCTCACGGAAATCCGGGTGAACGCCATCCGTGGTACCGCTATTGTTACTTCTGCTGTTCACTTCACCACCGCCATTGCGCCGCATCGCGAGTTCAGCCGACGCCAAGGGCGAAGGTCTTGTACGGCCAAGTGCAGCCTGCGGTCGCGGTAGATCCTCCACACGAGAACTAGGACCGGAGTCACTCACACTGCTGCCCTCTTCCGCTGCGTTTCTTGCCCAGTCCTGTGCATGGGAGCCATGGACCCCCATGGACTCATCACCCCCATCCTCAGTGACGTTGACGTTTCTATTGTGGTGAATTTTCTTTGCGAGAGTATGAAAATCTTCGTTTGCACGGACTCCACCACGTTTGTGTCCCGCCTCTCCACGAATCGCACTCAGTTCCTCCTTCCGAAGACGCTCACGCATAACACGAAGTCTTGTCTCATGTTCTTCTAACACCGCGTCCTCTGCAGCGTTGAATTTGGCTAACTCATGCTCCAGGTATTCCAAGTTACGATACTGTTCAAGGTAGACAACAAACTGTGACTGTAGATCACCCTCATGTTTTTCATATTCCTCCATGAAAGCGGGGCGTACGGCCATCAGAGATTTCAACCGTTTCTGTGCCCGCTCTAATTGGGTTTTTTTACTCTCAATTTTTTGCTCCAATGTCGTTTCATCCGCGCTAAGATTCATAATGGTAGTCTGCAGTTGCTCTACTTGCTTGCCAACATTGGCCAGGACGTCACGAAGACGTCGCTCAAATTCCCCCACTTCTGTCGCCCGTGACAAGACACGTTGCCGTTCACCTCGCTGTGATATCTCTTCCTCAATAAGAAAAAAAAGGGCACTGCCATCACTTGTGAGGTCACTGCAGAGCTGTTGTACACGTTTGGCATCCTTTACATTCTTTTGGGCCACCATTTGCTGCACACTGGTGTAGTCAGCTTCCTCCGCCTCGGTTGCATTCATTGCCTTCTTAAGAACACTTGCCAATATCAACATCTCCTGTACAGCATTTCCATCGGATTGATAAAGCTTTTTGATGTTAAGTTTAATCTGTCCCTTTGCCAAGGCAACTTCACATATTTGTTTAAAAAAGAAGATACGATCCCCTTCGCGCTCAATCTCATAGACAATCTCTGCCGATGGTTCATAACGCTTAATAAGCCAAAATAAACAGTCAGCCACTAGCTCCACATTGGGATTGCGGAAAGATTCCATGCTGATAAGATTAGGGTACCCCAGAAGACGCATCGTCTCCACAAATGAACGTAATTCCCGAAAAGACATGATGCAATCAGACGCTGACCCCTACACAACAAAAAGATATAATTTTGAGTCCGTATGACCTCCCTTTTTTTTTTTCTCTCTCTCTCTGTGTGTGTGTGCGTGAAATGTGGGATGTATGATTCCTTCACTTCCTATTCCCTGTCCTTCTCTCGTTTTGTACTTTCGGGCAGTCTGATTTACTCCAAGGAATAGAAACACTATATGTATATAGATAGGTATGTATCGTTGATGGGCTTCTTGTCCTTTTATTTATTTATTTTTTTTTTTTTTTCCTCCTGACTTCCAAATTCAGCTTTATAACGACTAAAATTTAGAAGCTCTCGCCTCCCACTCCTGCAAGTGTCCTTCTCTACATGTGACATGTATGGAAAGAAATAGCAGAGAAGCAAAAGCAACAAGAAAAAGGAAATAATAATAATAATAATAATAATAAGCACCACAAGAAAAAAAAAAAAGAGAGAGAGAGAACAATGAAAATAATACCGTCCCTGACCCCTCACACACACACACACACACACACCTCCACCTCCACCCCAACCCCCTTCATACTTTTTTTGTTTTTGTTTTTTTTTTTTTTTCAACCAAATTAAATCAAAAACTCTTGAACGAGGGGGTGCTGCTCCACTTCCTTTGCACGGCGCCTAATATCATCCCTTCCTTCCGTATCTGTGTATTCATCCTCCTGTTTCGCCTCTGAAACGGTAAAAGAGGCTTCGGCTTTTTTCCGCTTTCCACCAGGCGAAAAAATTTCATCAAAGTCCAGATCCAACGATAAACCCATAGAAGCCTCGGTTTTCGCATTTTCCGTAGCCAACGTCCCATCCGACTCAATAAAACGTCGCTTATTCTTTTGGCCCATGACCTCCCTCGCCTCCTCGTCAAAGAAGCGTGACACAAGCTGCTCACGGGGCGTCAGATCCTCGTCGCCGTAGCGTTCCAGTGTGTGATACAATGCATCCCATGTCATCTTCGCGTCATTGCCAGCACGATGAGCTGGAAGTGTAGGCGGTATCTTCAGCCACTGCACAAGGTCCGCCAAAGCCCACGATGGTGGGTGCTTGTCCGGTGTGACGGGTCTTCGGCGGTGGGCGTCGCGTATGAAATGGAACGTGTCGCCAAAAACTAATGCAGGTGGAAGCTCCAAACCGTGCGCCTCCAGTGTCCATTTGATTAGGGAGACATCGGCCAACTTCCCACCGTGACTCAACACAAGTAATCGATTCTCCGCACCGGGAAGTTCCTGTGGTTCTGGTGTCATGAGAGTCTCCATCACCTTCTCCCAGGCCTCTGGAAAAGGCAGTCCCTCCTTTTCCAACATCTCCTGAGTAATGTTCGTTAGCGCCGTTACCTCTTGTGAGACACGACGTCCGTTGGTAGGATTCACCAAGCAAGAAAACACCGTATCTTTAGCAGGGGAATAGAATCCAAACTCAATGATGTCTTCCGTGGGGCCGTCTGGTCCAAACACAGGAGGTCCTGAAAACTCCAAGTCAAAGGTGAATAGGCGAAATGGTACAGAAAGATACCGCTCAAAGAGTAGCTGACGGAGAAGGCGTGTACAAAGACGCCCTTCCATCGCCATCAACTTCGTCTCTGTAATTCCCCGGCGCTCCATTTCTTCCTCAAAGTTTTGTTGAATAAAGTGTCGTTGTACACTCAGCGGTGGGTGAATGCCTAATTGAAGTTGGGTGAAGATTTCCAGGTGAGTGAGGTTTTGCATCGTTTTCATGGGGTAGGCCCGCCAAAGAAATGAACGCCGCATTGCCGTATTTTGAAGATGATCCCCGCCCGCCCCCCGCCCCCAACAGACACGCACGCAAACACACACACAAAGACACACAAAGACGCCTATAAACGCGAGCCCCCACTAAACAGTAAAAAATAAACAAAAAAGCGAAAAAAAAAAAAAAAAAAGGGAGGGAGGGGTCCAATAGTATGAACTGCAGGGCGTAGTATTTACTTATGCAACTCTCCAATTCCCATCCAGCGATCCTTCTCCCCTTCTCTATGGCCTTCTATATATATATATATACAAGTTTGATTGCATCTCCACAAAATGGCCAGATGAAATACCGAGTGAGGAACAAAGAGAATTTTCTTACAAATGGATTTTTGGAAATCAGACTGTGCGGAATTTCCAAAAATATAGAATTCTTTTCCGTTAAGCAAATTCTTTTAACACGCAAACCCACACAAACGGACCACTGATAAATACTTCTGACTCATTCGTTTCGTGCCCTCTGTAACGGTGGTGCATCGCAGTCCGTTTCCCGCGGTTGCAATGCCTTTTTCTCCTCTCGCTGCCAATTCTCCCACTCCATAATAGCCTTTTCCACCACCTCCTCAGCCCACTCCGGAATTGGCCTCGGTTTTAAGGCCGCGGTATCTGTACGCACTTCACCTGTTTTCCAGTTTAGAAATACTACACGTCCAGTTTCTTTGTCTATTCCCTCAATAAAATCAGAGCCACCAAACACTGCGGGTGCGCATGGTGTTAAAAGTAACGCACGTACATTTAAGTAAAGTGTCGTGTCATCATCTTCTTCATCCCCGTCTTCTGTGTTGACATCATGAATATTATTAGTTTTATTATTGAACATAGCCGGTTTGGTATTTCTTACGCGACGGCGGCGATATTTCCGGCATACCTCCTCCAATGTCGGAAAAATACGACGTGGATCAACTTGGGCAGACCATTTGGGTTCCATTGTAGTTAAAACCGATGGCGACGACGCGCCGTCTGTAAGAGTATTGGCCACAAGAAACGGATAAATGGGTTGCAACCCTCGATCTACCGCCATTTGCACAAATGGCCTCAAAAGTGTAACGCGACGGTGTGGGCTGACCAGCACCCACTCCCCCACTTGAGGATCTCGCATGGGGTCAAAGTTGGGCAAGTACCTCTCAAGCTCCTCCCGTCCAATCGGCTGATACATCGGCCACCAATCGGATGGGAAAAAAAAAAAAAAAAAAAAAAAAAACAATCGGACACACAGCAAACTATAAATATATAACCGGGGTAAATCCAAAAACAAATGTCCCCGGAAATAATTACTAATAATAATACAGGAGGCAAAATGATATGTCTCTAAATGTCCTTCACACCATGTGCAAGTTTCCAACAAAATACGCTTCCCCCACTCGCCTTTAGATGCCACCCGTACCGAAAAAAAAAAAAAAATAGAAAAGAAGCAACCAAGCACTCTAGCTAACAAAGCAAATAAGAAATCCAAAAAAAAAAAAAAAAAAAAAAGTAAAAAAGACAACAAACTAACAAACACAAACACACACAAAAAGAAAAAAAAAGATTTTTTTGAGACGTAATGCCCACCATATTGAAAATATTATTATATAGTCACACGAGCACTCACACTCCAAGAGAACAATTTTTCTTTTCATGAATTTTTATTAGACACCTAAAATCTACATTAAAAAAAAAAAAAAGAAAAGAAAACATCCTACCCCCTTTCGATTGCGCTGCCTTGTCCTTTTTCTCTCTTTTTTTTTTTTTTTTGCTTCTTCGCTTTTCCATTATATCCGGTTTCGGCTTTGTGTGTGTGTGTGTGTGTGTGTGTCTCAACCCGTCCGCCCATTTGACATGCCTATGACATGGAAACATGATACAAAATGTAGAGCAAATAAACCGGAACAGTAAAGAGAGCAATTAGAATGACAATGTACATGATGACAGCAACTATTCTCTCTCGCGGAGTCATCATAGGTAGTCCACACTCAACGGCCAACTTGGAAAGAAGGGAACCACAGTAGCTCTTGGGCGGTATATGACGACAGGGAACATCATTGTAGGTTTTAGATAGATCTGGAGCAGGATCCTTCCTTGCATTACCCCTTGCATTTAACACAGAATGCGATGAGCTCATCGCCAAACTTATTCACACGGAAACAGGTCCGACTGTTTTTGTTTTTGCTCGTTAAGGGTTTAAAAGGCTCAAAAAAAAAAAAAAAAGAAGAATAAGAATAGGAATAATCTTCTGAGCCGCTGGCTGGATCCTGAAATTATTTACAAAAACCAAACAAGATAGAGAAAAAGGGGAGTATCGAAGAGGCAGTTAATTGCCTCAGTGTTTTCCTCCGATAATATCTAAATACATATATATATTCTGTTGACCGCTCACGTGGCCTTTGCACTCAGTGAGTGTACAAAATATTATTTCTTACGACGTGGCAGACTTTGGGCTCCTCCAGCCACAAGACCCCGCCACGAGATGGGAATCAAAAAGAGGCTGAGTGAAAAAAATACAATTAAAAAATAAGGAATTATCCGGCAGCTATCGGCTCCCCAATCCCAAAAAGGCGTCATGTTCTTCCTCAAATTCACAAGACAAAAGAAAAAAAAAAAACGAATATATCCGTTTCATCACGATACATATATGTATTAAATGAGGTAGGCATCTTCCCCCGTGGATATTCTTTTCGCATTCTCTTCACAAGTTCCTAATAATAATAAAAATACACAATATACCTGTTCGTTGTTTCCTCCCTGTTGTTGTTGTTTTTGTTGTTCATCTTCTTTTGTGCCTTTAATTCATTTAATTTCCAAAAATAGAAATAAACCCTAGCATGCTCCAGAACATTCTTTTGAAGGGAAAAGGCGTGGAAGGAGTAATCCGGAGCGGAGGGTGTAGGCGTGCCAACCTTTGTGACGGCTCATGCGATGCTCCTTCCGTAAAATATACGGAACGAAAATCCCAACCCAAACCCATGCTAATACTCCAAACGATCGTATATCTTTTGACACAAAGGCAAATGAGCCGTAAATAAGCATTTCTCCTAAGTAATTGGGATGTCGAATGCGAGAAAAAAATCCATCTGTAATAAGACCCTTCTCTTTTTTCAATACAAAGTATTTCTGGCAATCACTACCCATCATCAAAGAAAGTCCTATTTGAAATACGATGATAGCCATACAGAGAGAGATGTTGGAATGCTCCGGGTGTTTCATAATTGCATTGTATGCAATATACCAATATGGGCCCAATACACTAAGGAAAATAGTAATGGCACTTCCAAGAGTGATTTTCTTCTGCCATTTTGCATCGGGAAATATAAGCTCCTTTAGCAACCAACAAAGACCGTATCCACCGTGAAGGGCAGTGTAAGTCGTTGCTGTTGCAGAATAGTTTCCGGATTTTTTCATCATCAAAAGACAAACTATCAATGAAGCTCCTTTTTGAAAGTTAATGACATGAGCCAATTTGATAAAATGTGGTCCCCCCAAGTAATCCTCGCTTATGTAGTCAATTAACGAAAACCATTTTCCAAGCAGATATGGGAACTCCTTCTTCTTATTCTCCGTGATTTCATGCGACATCTGTTGGTTATCCTCTTTTATTCTCGACAGTGTGCTTTTCTCTTTATTTCAATCACGTACCAAAAAAAAAGAAAAAAGAGAAAAAAGGGGATGTGATAAGTTGTTTCTTCAAACATACTTCAGAATTGAAAAATATTGAATTAATTAGAATTATTATACATGCAATAAACAAATAAAAAGAAAATTAATAATAATAAAGAATAAATGCATTCGGAATCGTCCAGCTTCAGCTCTCTCCAATATTTCGGGAAGAAAACAAAAATACACGTACCGATGTATATAGATATAACTTATTTGCCATCTGTGAAGTTACCAAGACCATTTGCTTCAATTTACTTACACCGCACTACCAAATTCACCCTCTATGTGTCGCAACAACACCGTCACCAACTGTTTTCTGTCTTCTGCCGCATTCAAATCATCGTGCAGGCCCTTTAGTCCATTACCACCTTCCATAAATGTATTCAAGGGAAAATCCTTGCCAAGTCGGTGATCAGTCACTCGATTCTGGGGATAGTTGTATGTACGCATCTTATCGGATCTTTCGCCACTACTCCATTGGTTTCTCCAGGCTTCGTGAAGGGAAGAGTTTTGATCCTTGACACGTTGTGCTAACAATTGTTGGGCAACTAGTTGTAAAGCAATTTCTTTGTTTCCAAGCGCAGACCGTGACTGATGACACTTCACGGAAATGCCAGAGGGTATATGTGTGAGACATACTGCGTTTGAACTACTCTGCATACCCTGGCCACCAGGACCAGAACCTCTCACAAACTCAATTTTGCAGTCATTCTCGTGAACATTCACAGACACAGGATCAAGTACGGGCATAAGTGTCACAACAGCCGTAGAAGTTTGCATCTTTCCATCTTGGTCGGTAAGAGGAACCCGCTGCACCTTATGAACGCCAATTTCATGGCGAAGATTGCGGTACACATTATCACCTATAGCCTTAAATTTTACCCCGGTACTGGCCAGTGCCGGCGCGCTCAACGCAGAGGCATCACCACCGCCACCACCACCACCAGCTGCTCCTCCTGCTCCATTCTCAGCCTCCTCAATACGCCAATTTCTTACGCCAGTAGAATATTCCCTGTACATCTCCGCCAGCTCTGCGGCAAATAAAGAAGCCTCTTCACCACCCGCTTTCCCGGTCACCTCCAATACCCACGCACGACTTGATGATCCTAGTGTATCACTAGATTCAAGACGACGTGCCATCACGCCATTCACACAATCATCCATATTCCGTACTTGGTTTAAGAGAGACTCCATATCTTCCTCCAAAATCGATAAAAGATCTCGATCTTCCCCAACTGAATCCTTTTCCAAAAGAATTTGATCTCTCAATTTTACATTCTCATTCAGTTTGACCAAATAACCAGAGATTTCTTCAGCAACATCAATTTCCTCTCGGTATTGAATATTCCACAAAACATGATCAAAGGGCTTTCCATCGACCTTATTTCTCAATGCACGTAATGCGTCTGTTTGACCCTGCTCTTGCAAAATTTCAATTTCCAAACGCCTTTGGTTTAGTCGAAGAAAATACTCTGTAACCAATGGGTGATGAATGGGATTTAAAAGAGCTCGAGTGCTTTCCTCGAGAAACCATTTCTTATACGGAATAGGATTTTCGTGTGTGAGCTTCTTGACCCCACCTTGTGTTCCACCTGCACCAAACAAAAAGAATAATGCCCTCCGCATTATATTCTCTAGTAGGGGAAGGGTGAGAAAAGCAAAAAAAAAAAAAAAAAAAAAAAAAACAGTCTAGATGGATCAAGATTATTAGAAGCAAATTAATGAATACAGAATAATACAAAATTTAAAGAACTTGGATAGCCTTCAACTACATCATGGGTTCAGCAATAAGTTTTCCGCTTTTATTTCTCTTCTTGTTCCTTTCCCTTCCGTCAATTATCGCGTTTAAGGTGTGCACTTCCCCCTTTTCTTTTTTTTTTGCATTTTCCAAAATTTCCCATTCTTGTCATTCTCACATTTCTTTAAATGGATGTACATTTCAAACATGTATATATATATATATATATATTATACATTAAAAAGAAAAACACATCTTGGTGATATATATATATTTAGGGATAACCTTGTTTACATGTCTCTAAATGATAACAATCTTGGAGTTCACAAGGTGTTATCCTGATCTGTGAACTCCTGAAACTGCTTGTACGTGATGTCACCGTTTTCATCTGCGCGATCGTCAAACAAAATAGAAACCAACATATCTTCATCATCCTTTGACATATTGAAATGCATGATTTTATTGAGTGATTGACGAAAAACATCGCGATTCATTTTTGATGTGGTACTATAGCCTCCCAAAAGACGAAACTGCTCTTGTGTAGTTCCCCTCCTCTGTATTAACTTTTGTCGCAATTCAACTGCCAACTTTTGCCTCCGTTTGGTTCTTTCGGCATTTGATGCAACCAATTTAAGCGATTCATCTTTAGACATATTGACGCTTTTCACAGAGCGTACCGTAAGTGAAGCCTCATCCATGTCTCCCGAAAAAGTGACATTCACTACCTTAAGAAACTGGTCAAATGAGATAACGCCAGTACTATCTGGAGCGATATTTTTCACAAGCAAAACGGCCTCCTCATCGGTTATTGTGCAGCTACAAGAGCGTAAAAATTCACGAACCTGGCGGTAACCGAGCACACCATTAGGGGCAAGCGTGCAATAAGCTTCATGAACACGAAGAAACTTCAATTGTATCTGCTGTTTAAATAAAAGTAGTAAATCCCTCACTCGAGTTTCTGTAGCAGAGCTCTCCTTATCCTCCAAAATACGTTCGGTTTCATCAGTCATCGCAATGAGTTTAAAGGGTCGCTCCAAGACAATAACTTCCTTGCCCACTTCAAAATCTTCAGGGGAATAAGGAACACTCGAGCCGTCAGGCATCCTTTTTTCATGTACCCCTTTAGCGAGAAACCGCCCAGCAATGAACCCCGAGTTTCGCTCGGGTTTTTCAAAAATCTCAATTTCATCACTTGCACGATGAAACGAAACCACAAATTTTCTCTTTTCATCCCCTGGAACCAGTGGTTTGGACAGTACAGCCAGAAAACGTAAGACGCGTCCCTCCTCTTTTTCTATTTTGGCAAAATCAGGTCTTTTGGGTTTTGCTGTCAATGTAATCCAGTTAGCGCGTTTTTCACGCTCACTACCAAACCCATTCGGTGGAGGAGGATAAAATTTGACAGGTGCTTTCAAATCAACTTGAACAAATGGATCAATATCAACTTTGGGAGCAAGTTCAATACCAATTTTGTTTTTCATATATTCCCGTGTAAAAGAATCGGCGTCATAAATGTAATACGGTCTGCCATGAATGATGTAAGTTTCACCAATTTGCATATCATCGGCCACAAGAAAGTCACGCTTCATTACTACACCGAATGTGTGTTCTTGAAAGCGAGTCTTTTGAAGATCAACACCAGGACGGGGAACTCTTTGGCGACCCAGAATTGTTGTACCACCATCGCGTCCAGAATTTTCAGGCCTTCTCTCTACAATTTCAAATGTATCATTTTCCAGATAAATACGAATAGCACAAAAACGCAAATCCCCTTTAAGATTTTCACGGTCATCCCACAATGCAAAAAAGGTCAAGTGCTCATTTATGTTATGTTTCAAAAATTTCTGTGCCGCAAGGATATCCTCAGTTGCATGTTTTGTGTAAATACCAGTTAGCTGTTGTTCAATGGCTCGCTTCCTATCCATATCATCAGACGTGGCCAAGCGATGAGTACTCTTAGAACGCTGAGCCTCCATTTCGGTTCCAAATTTATCTAGTTCACCTGGCCAAGGTAACGAGTCTGGAACCTCTTCACCGCGTATTTTTTTGTAATACATTCGACTTCGCATATCCATATCCAAAATATAATATTTTCTTTTAAAAATTTCAATTGAACCCCCAATCTTAAAATCATCAAGTGTGATAAGTTCATTGATTTCATCCATCCTTTTCGGTACTTGTCGACGCGACAATATCTTTGACTGCAGAATGCCACTATTGTCTTGTTTCGCTTCTATTATTGAAATACTGTTATCCTGTAAATGATAACGAATACAAACCTTTCTCACTATGGCTGTTTCAGTCGAAGATTCGGGAATGTTTTCAATAAAGTAAGCCAGAAAACGAACCACATAATCTTTTGCACCGTTTGGTACATCAAAGTTTGCAATGGTCCATCCATTAAATACATCCTCATCATCACTTTCCTCATCTACTGCAGTTTGTGTCCTCTTTTTCCCATCTCGGGTAAGACCACCTCCGTTGTAAATATACTCAGTATGAGGAGCGTAATCCACTTTTGGGGGCAGTAGAAGATTATGACTTTTTCGAAGAGTATTAAAGCAAATTGGATCATCATGAAAATTGGCACCTATGCACAAAGGGAGATTGTTTTCCAGTGTAAAATTCTCATAGCGGCGAGTAGGTTGAGTGCGCACCACACTGTTTTTCATGCCTTCAAGTTGCTTGGAAGTAAACAGAACAAAAAAAAAAAAAGAAATTGAAAAAACAAGGAAAATAACCATAAAAAGGCGGGGTTTTATCGATCATTTTTAATTATTATTATTATTATTTTTTATTATTATTATTTTTTTTTTTTTTTTTCGTGTTTGCTTCTTGCAAAATTTCGTCATGTTGAAGATTGTGATAAGTGATAATTACAAAGCAATAAAAAAAGGACAATAGAAAGTAAAAGAAAACTGTCTAAAACCCCCCTCTATAAATAACAATAATAATAATAATAATAATAATAATAATAATAATAATAATAATAATAATAAAACAGGTTTTCTGATGTATTTTTTTGGGGAGGGAGGGGGAATGATGCATGCGATCTAAGAGAAAAGGTAATTATATAATTATATAATTATATATATATATAATGTGAAAGGAAGTGCATCTCTAATATTTCATTCTAAGAAACAAAAACCGCTGAAAGTGAAGGCATCTCTAATGAAGCCACACTGGCAAATTTTTGCGAAACATACTTTCGACGAATGGCTTGTAATTTTGAAGAAGAAGAAGATAAGGTTTTTGTAAAACTCAAAAGCTTTTCTGATAGAGAAAAAATTTCATCCAATGTTATTCCTCGACTAACATGAATCATTTCTCGATCCCATAGTTTTTCTTGTGAAATATTTGAGCGATCCAAAGAACGATTCCATGCCACAAGTAAACGACCAAGTAAAACCGAAGCAGCCGCAATACGAGAAGGCAAATATTGTAGCATCTCATAGTTGTGAGAAGCAGACTCCAAAAAGAAAAAAGTTGCATCACGTACCATTGCTTCAGTATCTCCAGAATCCAGAAAGTGACAAGCTAAAGGATAAGTCGTGGGGACAGTAAATCGAAATCGCAATGTAAGTGCAATATCCCTTTCCATCTGAAAAACCTCCTCTGCAGAATAAGTATTTGCACAAATAAATACGCAATCTTTTATTCCAGGTGGCCATATCTCTTCGTGTTTTGCAGAGAGGAGAACGGCAGAAATGCCAACCAACTGAAGTTTTGCCCGACTTACTTTTTTGGCGCACAAATATCGATCTACAATGTCGATAGCCAGATAAAAAGACTCAGGATGAAGTTTAAATTTTATAGCCACATCAACAAGCCAATCCACAAGAATCATCCTCATTCTTTCAGTTACCTCAGGTTGATTCACCATATAACTCGGGTCACGATAATGACTCCTTTCCGCAACTAGAAGGTAATCACCAATTTCCGCGCTGTATTCAGGCACATATGCCGGACCCATAGTTAATTCATTGTGGCGGCAATGCTGGTTTCCGTCAACTCCCTTTGGAACAGCACTAACAATTCCATTTTTCCCAACGGGTGGCTGAGAAACCAAAGCAGGTAAAGGCTTTCGTGTTACAATAAGACGGTTAGTCTGATCAGCAAAAACAAAAGTCTCTGCCATTTTCATTACCAATCCTACAATGCTGTAACAGAAAAAAAAAAAAAAAAAAAGCAAGAAAGAAAGAAAAAAAGATAGAATCAAAATCAACAACGTAAATAAACCATAGAAAAAAATAAGTAAAAAAATACTCAACATATAAATCAAAAAAAAATTAAAATTAAAAAAAAAGAATAAAGGGTTTAAACAACAAGAACAAAAAATTTACAAAAAAAAAATCGCGAAAAGCAGACGGCTCTGTTGCCATAAACACTAATTAAATCATGCAGAAAGTAAATCAAACAAAAAAAAAAAAATTTCAAACCCTCGCTCAATCTTCAGACGAACTAATAATAATAATAAGAATAGGAATAATCTTCTGAGCCGCTGGCTGGATCCTGAAATTATTTACAAAAACCAAACAAGATAGAGAAAAAGGGGAGTATCGAAGAGGCAGTTAATTGCCTCTGTGTTTTCCTCCGATAATATCTAAATACATATATATATTCTGTTGACCGCTCACGTGGCCTTTGCACTCAGTGAGTGTACAAAATATTATTTCTTACGACGTGGCAGACTTTGGGCTCCTCCAGCCACAAGACCCCGCCACGAGATGGGAATCAAAAAGAGGCTGAGTGAAAAAAATACAATTAAAAAATAAGGAATTATCCGGCAGCTATCGGCTCCCCAATCCCAAAAAGGCGTCATGTTCTTCCTCAAATTCACAAGACAGAAGAAAAAAAAAACGAATATATCCGTTTCATCGCGATACATATATGTATTAAATAAGGTGGGCATCTTCCCCCGTGGATATTCTTTTCGCCTTCTCCCAAAAACACATGGAAAATGAAGCTCCGCAGGCCCTTTTCCGGATTTTGCCATGAAGCCTCCGGACGCCTCGCTTCCCCACATGTGGCGCGGAAACTGCGTCAGTAATTTTTCTTTTTTGCTGCGGCGCCCGCGCGCTCGGAGAGCCCACCCACCGCCCGCCCCGGCGCGGTGAAGAAGCGACTGGCGGCGCGCGGTGGCGGAAAAAAAAAAAAATAGTGGGAAGGGTACGGCACCCCGGGTTCCAGCGCCATCACTGATCGCCGTACTAACGAGGCCTGTGGCCGCTTAACTTCACAAATCGGACGGGATGTGGTGCACTCGGCCAAGTATGGTCGTACCCGGCGACGCGCCACGCGATGCGCAGCCGCCCGCCCGCCGGCGACAGGCAAGCCACGGAAGAGCCGCGGGAGATGATGAAAATAGAAAAAAAAACGGTAGGAAAAAAGGCAAGAACAAATTTAAAAATGAAGCTCCGCAGGCCCTTTTCCGGATTTTGCCATGAAGCCTCCGGACGCCTCGCTTCCCCACATGTGGCGCGGAAACTGCGTCAGTAATTTTTCTTTTTTGCTGCGGCGCCCGCACGCTCGGAGAGCCCACCCACCGCCCGCCCCGGCGCGGTGAAGAAGCGACTGGCGGCGCGCGGTGGCGGAAAAAAAAAAAAATAGTGGGAAGGGTACGGCACCCCGGGTTCCAGCGCCATCACTGATCGCCGTACTAACGAGGCCTGTGGCCGCTTAACTTCACAAATCGGACGGGATGTGGTGCACTCGGCCAAGTATGGTCGTACCCGGCGACGCGCCACGCGATGCGCAGCCGCCCGCCCGCCGGCGACAGGCAAGCCACGGAAGAGCCGCGGGAGATGATGAAAATAGAAAAAAAAACGGTAGGAAAAAAGGCAAGAACAAATTTAAAAATGAAGCTCCGCAGGCCCTTTTCCGGATTTTGCCATGAAGCCTCCGGACGCCTCGCTTCCCCACATGTGGCGCGGAAACTGCGTCAGTAATTTTTCTTTTTTGCTGCGGCGCCCGCGCGCTCGGAGAGCCCACCCACCGCCCGCCCCGGCCCGGTGAAGAAGCGACAGGCGGCATCGCGAAAGCAAAAACAATTATAATGATTTTTCTACCTGATGATGCCGGCCACCTCAACCTAGTGCCAGGGTCTTGCGGTCTTCGCGAGAAGGAAAATAAGCATCTAGCGCCCTTCCTCGGAGTGCGTGGATGTGGTGCACTCGGCCAAGTATGGTCGTACCCGGCGACGCGCCACGCGATGCGCAGCCGCCCGCCCGCCGGCGACAGGCAAGCCACGGAAGAGCCGCGGGAGATGATGAAAATAGAAAAAAAAACGGTAGGAAAAAAGGCAAGAACAAATTTAAAAATGAAGCTCCGCAGGCCCTTTTCCGGATTTTGCCATGAAGCCTCCGGACGCCTCGCTTCCCCACATGTGGCGCGGAAACTGCGTCAGTAATTTTTCTTTTTTGCTGCGGCGCCCGCGCGCTCGGAGAGCCCACCCACCGCCCGCCCCGGCGCGGTGAAGAAGCGACTGGCGGCGCGCGGTGGCGGAAAAAAAAAAAAATAGTGGGAAGGGTACGGCACCCCGGGTTCCAGCGCCATCACTGATCGCCGTACTAACGAGGCCTGTGGCCGCTTAACTTCACAAATCGGACGGGATGTGGTGCACTCGGCCAAGTATGGTCGTACCCGGCGACGCGCCACGCGATGCGCAGCCGCCCGCCCGCCGGCGACAGGCAAGCCACGGAAGAGCCGCGGGAGATGATGAAAATAGAAAAAAAAACGGTAGGAAAAAAGGCAAGAACAAATTTAAAAATGAAGCTCCGCAGGCCCTTTTCCGGATTTTGCCATGAAGCCTCCGGACGCCTCGCTTCCCCACATGTGGCGCGGAAACTGCGTCAGTAATTTTTCTTTTTTGCTGCGGCGCCCGCGCGCTCGGAGAGCCCACCCACCGCCCGCCCCGGCCCGGTGAAGAAGCGACAGGCGGCATCGCGAAAGCAAAAACAATTATAATGATTTTTCTACCTGATGATGCCGGCCACCTCAACCTAGTGCCAGGGTCTTGCGGTCTTCGCGAGAAGGAAAATAAGCATCTAGCGCCCTTCCTCGGAGTGCGTGGATGTGGTGCACTCGGCCAAGTATGGTCGTACCCGGCGACGCGCCACGCGATGCGCAGCCGCCCGCCCGCCGGCGACAGGCAAGCCACGGAAGAGCCGCGGGAGATGATGAAAATAGAAAAAAAAACGGTAGGAAAAAAGGCAAGAACAAATTTAAAAATGAAGCTCCGCAGGCCCTTTTCCGGATTTTGCCATGAAGCCTCCGGACGCCTCGCTTCCCCACATGTGGCGCGGAAACTGCGTCAGTAATTTTTCTTTTTTGCTGCGGCGCCCGCGCGCTCGGAGAGCCCACCCACCGCCCGCCCCGGCCCGGTGAAGAAGCGACAGGCGGCATCGCGAAAGCAAAAACAATTATAATGATTTTTCTACCTGATGATGCCGGCCACCTCAACCTAGTGCCAGGGTCTTGCGGTCTTCGCGAGAAGGAAAATAAGCATCTAGCGCCCTTCCTCGGAGTGCGTGGATGTGGTGCACTCGGCCAAGTATGGTCGTACCCGGCGACGCGCCACGCGATGCGCAGCCGCCCGCCCGCCGGCGACAGGCAAGCCACGGAAGAGCCGCGGGAGATGATGAAAATAGAAAAAAAAACGGTAGGAAAAAAGGCAAGAACAAATTTAAAAATGAAGCTCCGCAGGCCCTTTTCCGGATTTTGCCATGAAGCCTCCGGACGCCTCGCTTCCCCACATGTGGCGCGGAAACTGCGTCAGTAATTTTTCTTTTTTGCTGCGGCGCCCGCGCGCTCGGAGAGCCCACCCACCGCCCGCCCCGGCGCGGTGAAGAAGCGACTGGCGGCGCGCGGTGGCGGAAAAAAAAAAAAATAGTG